AAGATCCTATTGTTTCTTTCCTCCCACACTGACCACAATACAGCAGCTCTAGTGGCTCTCCACATAATCCTTCCACGAACCGTTGGTTGCCTGTAAAAAGTTGGATCAAAGAGGTTCACCAYGCTTGAGGAGGGAGTCCACCTGTAGTCAAAGAGAGAAGAGAACCAAWACCAAATAAAGAACACAAAGGGACATGAGATTAGTAAATGTGAAATTGTCTGACCAGAACCCAAACAGAGGCAACAAACATGGAGGGAGAGGCACATATTTGGCCTCTTTTTCTGCAATAAATCCAAGGTGTTGATTTTTTGGAATACCATTTCCCAACAAAAGGCCTAAATTTTAGGAGGTACAGGGCTACCCCACACCTCCTTTGAAGGAAAGCTCCCTACAAGGTTAGAGGTCTAAAGCCAAATGTTATAGAAAGAAGAGCAATTGAAAAAACCAGAAGGGGAAGGTTTCCAAATTCTGCTATCTCTACAGGACTGATCAAGAAAGACTTCCCCTAACTGAGTGATCAAATCATCAACCATCCCCATTTCAAAATCCCTTAGACCTCTTCTCAAGCCCAAATCCTAGGAGTTATCAACAAACACTGAAGAGATCACTTTTCTTTTGTTTTTAGGCAAGGAGTAAACAGAAGGAAATCTATCTCTAAGGGAGTTTTCACCAACCCAAACATCTTCCCGAAACAAGACTTTATTTCCAACTAAAACATCATATTTGAAATAAGGAAGCATAAGAGGCAAAATACCTTGAATAGCTTTCCAAGGAGAACACTGAGAAGCCCGAGGGTCGAGTCCTGCATCCCAACCGTTATCTGCCAATMCATGAATACTAACAATCACTCTAGACCAAAGTCTGTCATGTTCCATCGGTAGTCTCCAAATCCATTTCCCCAACAAAGTCATGTTTCTTAATCTTATATTTCCTAACCCAAGGCCTCCATTATCCCCACTCCTAGAAACCACCTCCCACTCCACTAAGTGATCCTTCTTAGTATCCCCTGGTTCCCACAAGAAATTCCTCATTATCTTCTCTAATTGGTTAGCTACTTTCATTAGTACTCTAAAGGTAGACAGGAAATAAACTGGCAAGTTGGCTTAGGTTGACTTGATTAAGGTTATCCTACCCCCTAAAGAGATTTAATTCCTCTTCCAATTTGCTAACCTCTTGGAGAATCTTTCAATTACAGGGTACCAAAAACTCTCAACCATTGGGTTCCCTCCCAGTGGTTTGGTATAGGGAACCTAACTCATAGGGAACCTAACTCATAGCAAACCTAACTCATAGCATCATAGGATGTGGTATAGGGAACCTAAGGAGCAGGGAGGGATTGGTATAGAGAACCTAAGGAGCAGGGAGGGATTGGTATAGGGAACCTAACTCATAGGAACACAGCTATCTTTAGAAAATGGTTTTGTAGGATTCCAATCAAAAGGGATAGGATCATAGGATGTGGCATTGGGCCCTTGCAAGCATACATGGGATGAATATGATGAACGACGGTTGGGATGCAAAAGGCAACTCCTCTTTCAAGTTCAACATCTACTTGGGAATCAATACAATAGGTGTATTCGACTTTCATTAATTCCACCAGATTTGGTGTGGACTGTGGGAATAAAGTCATTTTTTGGGAAAACCTTTGGCTAGCCAAAATTCCTCTCAAATTGCAATTCCTTGTACTTTACTCCTTGTCAAATTGCAAATCTCAGTCTATCCCTAGGTTTAGGACCTTGTCTCTTTCTGGGATAAATTGGAATTTTGGCTTTAGAAAGGACTTAAGGGATAATGAATGTGAGTCCCTTATCACTTGTTGGTTAAACTTGAATCAAAACTGTGAAAGACACTAAAATTTGGTCAGCTTCTCCTGAGAACTTCTTCACATGTGCTTCATTCTCAAATGCCCTCGCATAGTCCAATCCTTTGGAGGAGAAGTTCCAAGTGAAAGAGATTTGTAGTAAGGCTATCCCACCTAGAGTTCAAGCTCTATGTAGGGATGTTTTCCTTGAAAAGATAAATACCTGTGGCATGCTTCAAAAAAGAAGGCCTAGTAAATGCCTTTCACCCCATATATGTTCCCTTTGTAATGCAAGTGGTAAAACCTTGTCCCATGTACTATTCTCCCACCCTAATGAGCTTTATGTTTGGGAGTACTCTTCTTCTCTCTTTAGCTGCAAGTCTGCAACGCACAGGCAGGTTCCCCTAGGATGTAATAAGCCTCTTTAGTCTAAGCTTCTTAAGACAACCACAGAAAAGAGGGAGAATCATGTGAAAAGCGATCAGGGCAGCAAAGGTATAGACTACATGGGATGAAAGAAATGGGAGAATCTTCAATAAAAAAAGCAAGTCAAAGGAGATCTAAAAGATTATAAAGTTTAAAGTTGCACATTGGATAAAGGTGTCTGATTCAAAACCTTTTCGGTGAATTATACAATGAGAACATGGGCTGAAGTGGACAATTGTCTAAAAACAGGATAGAGTGATCATGGAATAGAAACCCCCAGCAAGTAATAAAACAAAGCTAATTTTTTATGGGAGCTCCATGGACACTTTGGGACTAGCAAGTATAGGAGGCATTTAGAGATTCCTCAGGTAGGTTGGTGGCTCTGTATTCTAGACCTATAGGGGTTGGAGACTCCCTAAAAGTTGAACTATTGGCTTCGTGGCACTGTTTGAGATTTGCAAAGCAATCAAACTTCTATCAACTGATTCGGAGCTGGTTATTTCTTGGACAAGTAGCAATCAACTAACTTGGATTTACTAGCATGTGTTCAAGGAGATAGAAAGGCCCTCAAAGGATTTGACCATTAACTTTAATTGGGTGAAGACTACAAATGGAACAGCGGATACTCTAGAAAAACAAGGGATTTATAGACAGAAATTTATTTGGGCTGTATTATAACTTTTGTAGTAATATTGGCCAATAGCAATTTTTCCTTTCCACTATTGTGTGGTTGAAGCTCTAAGCTGATGTGCCAAACGCAGCCTAAGGGTGTTGTTGATGGTCTTCTATGCACATGATCAACCCAATTTAGCCTAACTTTCTCTCATTTTATCACCAAGTGGAGCTATTCCTAATTTCAAAACCATACTTATTGGTCCTAAACAATGTGCCATGAGAAAGCATATACATCCAAAAAGGAGCTACAGTTAGATTTTGAAAAAAAAATGTTCTAATTTTCTTTTACTGCATTCTGAAACTACTTGAGTAACTTAATATTTGTTTATTGCTACGCATCAGTTTCCCATGCAATGAATTTTGAGGTACATGCCAGAAATCTTTGCACTATATACTTGGCACACATGCACATGTCAGGTAAAAATGATCCTAGATCTCAATAAATGGAGGTTGTATCCCTGTTTCCAATATCTATGTATGTCACAACATAATCATATGCCAATCTTAGCACCTGGAAACCTTTTGCAGTATTTGGACTTCACAAACAATGGCACTATTCTTGTATAAGTGCTATCTTGACTGATAAAATCAATGTATCACCTAGAAACCTTTTGTAATCTTTGGACTTCATGGGCAATGGTACTATTCTTGTATATGTGTTATCTTGATTGATAAAATCAATGTACTTATGAGACAATTTTGGCCTACACCAGGAACAAAATCTTATATAAGATTGCATCATGATTTCACATTTCAACAAAACTCAAGGGTTCTACTTCAAGTTTTGAAAACTTCCTCTTTTTTCCCATATATCTACTTTCTTTCACTCCACTTCCTCTCCAATATTAATCTAAATCTCCATATTTATCATATCCCTTCCTATTTCTTCAGATACTCTTTCACAAGGGATAATAATTTGAAGCAAATGCTTGCAACTAAGCTTAAACCTTGAAACTAAGAACCTAAATTGGTAGATAGAGAGAGCAGTGGTATGGTCAAAGAATGATAACTAAACATTAAATATTAACAACCAATGGCATCCTTACAGGGAAAAAGAGTTAAGTATTCATTTTTTATCAATAAGAGTTAAGTACTCATCAAAATAGAGAGAGAAAGAGAGAGAGGGAGAGAGAGAGAGAGAGAATTAATAATGAGGACTGCTAAAAGCTTGAATTCAGTTTCCTGGAAATACCAGTCTAGGGGCAACAAGAGATGACAATGTGATAGTCTTCTCTGGGGGAATTTCTGCCTTGGTACTTCCCATTATCACCAAGCAATCTCCAGAAGGAACAGCCTTTACCCTTCCTCTCAACCATCCTGTGGCCCCAGCTGTTGATGCCATCTCAACAGCTAACACCTGCAACAAATCACCAACCATGCCAAATTTCTTGAGATATTGAAACCCACAAAAGCTCTCTCTCCAAAAAGAAACATAAATATGTCTAGAATCAAGTCATAAAAGATACATGCAAACATCCAAAAATGCCTATTAAATCATAGAATCATGGTCAAATGATGCAAACGAGGAATGTTAAATTTGAAAAAAAGGTCATGTCACTAATTGAGGTAGAGTTCAGAATGGCTGTGCATTTTAACCATGGCATTGCATGAGTTTGCCCCACAGCATGTCAAGCATGGTTGTCAAGGCAATGCCTAGGCAGGCACCTAGGCGACAAGGCGCCCTTTGAGGCTCGCCAAGCAGTTTTTAACTTCCTACTATAAAATACTTTTTTGTTTATTCATTTTTGAGATTATAATTATAAAATAAACATTATTAAACTAAAATAATCATTTTGTGTGTTTATATACTAATTTTTTTTTTATAAATGAGAGTAATTTTATTGAAATAAATATCAGAAATACAAGCAGCCTAGGAAGAGGCACAAGATGTTACCTCCCCCAAGGATTGAATCATAAACACTAAACATGCCCAAACCTTAGATACAAATTACAAAGTAGCCCAAAACAGATCACCCTTGCTTGGCCAGAGAATCGGCCATTACATTTGCTGATCTGCTAACCCACTGGAACCTAACTTTCTTTAACAGATCCCTGTAGCCCCAACAAACTGTGTCTGGGCTATTCAGCCAGCCCACTACTACCTTGGAATCTCCTTCTACTAACAAATTGTTCACTCCTAGCCATTTGTATACCTTGTACCGCTGCTAGTAGCTCTGCCCTTACAGAATCACCTTCACCCACTGGTCCTGAGAAAAGAGACAACATATTGCTGTCTTTATCTCTCAGAATTCCTCCAATTCCGGATGGCCCTGGGTTACCTTGGCAGCTGCCATCAAAGTTCAATTTTACCACTCCATCCGGTGGGGGTTTATATACTAATTTCTTTTTATTGTTTTCTTATTTATTAGGGTTTAATTAACACAAACATTGCTAAATGCTGTATTGAACCCTCAAAGACTTCAAAACCTGAACCAATAAGTAAGGAAGAACTTAAAATTTTATCTAGTCAGCACATTTTATTCTTCCATATAGTCTTCTTCTTCTACTACTTCTTTTTCTATAACAAAAATAAGGGTTCATCCCCTATATTTTTTGGATTTTATTTTCCTTCTTTTTCTTCTCATGAATATGTTGATTTTCTATACTTTAATATGAACTTTATACTTATTTATCAAAAAAATATGAACTTTATACTTTTCTTATGAAAATTATGAATAATTATTAAGGAAATTTGGTTATAGTACCTAGGGAACTACCCTAGGATCAATGCTTTCAACATAAAAAAATCCATCGCCTAGGCGACTAGGCAACAAAGCACCCCCCTATTGCCTAGCCTCGTCTTGGAGCCTTGAAAACTATGATGTCGAGAGAAACATGCAAAAAGGGCACAAAATATATTTGTGGGTGCCTGTTTCCTCAAAAGCAGCAACACAATACCTATAGTTCCATGCTGAAGGTTTTAGACGAAACACCTTTATGGAAGTTCGGAGAATTCAGGTAGTGTTGCAGCAACACCCCTCAAATGTGTGGCACCTTGATAGGTGAGCCACCAAAACACTAACAAGCAGTCACATAATAACAGAAGCAGAAAATTTCAAAAAAAAAATGTTAGGACTGTCTTTGTAAGACAGGTTTCTTATCGGAACAATGCCATGATGTTTATACTGCTAAAAAAGCTTGACCCTTCAGCTACATATTAAAAAATTTGGAAAACAAATATTGCAATAACCCCATATAACAAAGCATAAAAGCATACATGAGACAGTGAGACATGATCCACATTGAAATGGAAAATAAGAAAAGATAAAAAGGCCCGACACCAAACCGTAAAGAGAAGAAACATCCAGACATCCATCAGAGAGACTCCAAGTCTCTCACCATGGGTAGAAGCTGATGGTCAAGTGTTAAATAAATGACACCATAACCATGTTTAATTGAGGATACGGAAAAAGCATACGATCTATGTTACCCTCATGAATATAAGCCCAGCTCAAAAGCCCGATCTTTCAGTAACAAAGTAACAAAAAGCAACAGCATCAAAAACGATAATGGAATAGCTCGATACGAGAAAACGAAAAGCAACACGCGAAAAGGAAGATCACAGATAAAAATTCATCACCCTCTGGACGATGTTGAATGATAGAATTCCCAGATCCGTAAAGTAGGACACTTAAAAGAACCAAAAACTTGAGGAAAATTTTTACAATGCTATGTTACACAGAAGAAAATCATAGTTCTTACTATCACAAAGGCACCACTAGATCGGATTCAGATACAGTAACTAATTAACACGATCCGTAAAATCGATCAAATTTTCGACTATAACCTCCGAAATAAAACGAGAAAGATCAGATCGGTATCGAAGCAACATCACAAGACGAACGGAAACCACAGAGTATTATTAACGAAGCATTCATAATTCAGAATCACTTCATCATCGAAGGAAACGAAAGCGATAAAAACGAAGCTGTTACAGAGAGAGAGAAAGAGAGATCTAGATGTGTGCTGATAATAAGAACCGAGATCGGAGATTCGATGAGGTGGTTACCTGGGCTTTTGTTTGAGAAGAGATCCAAAGAACCACCACCGAGACTTGTCTTGCGGAGAAAGCTAATCAAAGCCGAGTTCGATCGGTTCGTAATCTGGAGTCGAATAAACACAAGAATAAAAGGATCTAACGGAGTGTTTTCTGCGGCACGGGGAGGCGTTGAGAGAGAGACAGAATCTACCTAACTATATAAGTGATAGGATAGAGAGGTGTTTAACGCTACGGAAGCAACGATTTAAGGAAAAGATTTTCAACGGCGAGGATACCCTCTCTTTGTGGTAAAAAATACTTAAAGTACCATCATTGTCCTTTTCCGTTTCCGGATTGGGGTTAAGGAACTTGGTAAGTCCGCACTGCTTTTACCAAAACACCCCGAACAGAGGTAATGACTTAAGTATTTTTTACCAAAACACGGTGTTCGGTAATTGGTATTTTGTGCCACCGATGAAGAGTGTCAGCTCCAAATCCAATTAGTTGTTTAGTGTTTTCACTTCTCAGTTTTCAGCTACATAGAATTATATATGTGTTTGGACACAAACATAGGCGATACCAGCTGGAGTTGGGAGCTCCTGCCAACTAAACCCATTCCAACACGGATCCGGACTCCAGGCACCAGCTGGCAGCTGCCATGTATGTTTGGATGCAAACATAGGCGCCACAAATGGGAAAGCCTGAGGATTAACAAACGGCTAATTTTATCAAAATTTTCAATTAATATCCTATACTTTGTGGGCTAGTGTGATTTTGGTTTCTAAACTTTAAAATGTGATAATTTATTATCCAAACTTTTAAAATGGGTCAATCCGATATTTATTGTTAATCAGTTATTGAACACATATACCTTTAAAATGTCATCTAATTCTTTTTATCAATCATCCAAACCTTGATAAAAATGAATAATCCTAAATTCTTGAATTTTTTATTTAAGAAAATTAAAATTATGCTCGAAGGGCATTTATATCTTTTCAAATGCCACTTAACAGTTTATTAACGGACTAATTAATGGTAGATAAATAGATTGATACACTTTGAAAATTTGGATACTAAATTATTACATTTAAAAATTTATAAATCAAGGTAACGCTACACCCAAAATACAAGATACCAATCAGGAATTTTTCTCTTTAATTAATAAGGTTAATGAAAAAAAAAATCAAAGGCCCAAATATAGAAATTTCGTCCTTTTATATAGGCGTGGGCCTCAGTTATCTCAAGAACTGGACCCGCCGCAATGCTTCATTCCAATCGGACGGCCTCGGAAAATGGTGTTAGTATAAGGGGACTTTTAATAATTAGATTTTAGTTACAATCAGTAATTGCGATTTTATACCCCGTTTGGGCTCTTAAATGTTTTTTAATTAAATAACCTTGTCAGAAGGGGACATTTGATCATTTGATTTCTTAATTACAATATGAAGAAGCAATTGCGATTTTTATACACCATGAGCATGACTGTCACAAGACAACCTCCTACGCTATGGCTGTATCTAGTAGGAAAGTAGGAAACCCACCTTCGGAGTGCTAGTTTCTGTGCTGCTACTCGACTCGGTCACTACGCAAAAGCAAAGTAAAAGAAAACAACTCAAAAGTCAAAGGGTATATTAGTAAATATAACGAAAAAATACTCGCAATTGACGAAACACCCAAGGATAATAATGGAAATCCGGTAAATGATATGAAATACCAACAATTAATAAAACCATATTAAATCCATACCCTTTTTCTTATATAGGGATAATCCACGTCACATGCTTAATGGCTCTACCAACAAAAAGAAAAAAAGGTTCGTGGGCCGTGAATTGAAGACAAGCGGAGAAAGCGAGGAAGAAATAAATCCAGAATCATGTCAAATCGTGGACGCTGTGGAGCGTCATCGTCAGAGTCGGGTGGACGTGGTAGAAGAGTATGTGTGACGTGTTGATTTAGATATTTGCATGTAACTGATACTACCTGGTACTTACTGGACATCTGTCAATCTCATCATCACTTCACATTCTGATTTTCCGAGGGAACAATGCTTGTATCTTGGGATTCTTCTTTAAGAGTGGTGATTCAGTGGCGTCTTCTCGTAGAGAATAATGCTTGTATTTTGTGTTATTTTGTATGTATTTACAATGTATACATTTGTATTTACAGTATAATTATACTTCTTTCAAATTGAGCCTTGCTGTTGTGAGTGGTAGAACATAAAAAAAAAAATCACAATTTTTCATGTCCTCAGATTTTAGATAATACTAGGGTTGGATTATGATATAGGAAAAACTTGTAACTATGCTATATAAAAAATACACTTTTTGACATGTAAATACCTAAAATGCTATATGAAGCCTATCGCATATATTTGTTTGTTAGGTCATAAAAGTTAAATTTAATAATATAATGTTAATTTATGTGTTCATACTTTATTTATGCACATACATACCAATGCCTTTGCACTAATTATTGATAAAATAAACTAAAAATAAGCAAATATTGTATATTATTAATAAATTAATTAAAAATGAATTCTTTTTGGAGAAAGATTATTGAATTCCTTAATTTTGTTCGCTCTAAGATTGAATTACTTGAGTTGTGTTTGGAAGTGATGTAAAACATCATCAATGTAAAAGTTTACGTCAGTTTAGTTTTATTGGCATTTGGATGGAGTATAAATCAAGACCAATGTAAAATTCCAATCCTGGTTCAGATTTTTCGGCAGCTGGATGGAGTGGTGTTTTGCATTGTAAATCGATATAAAACCTCATCTAAAATAAAGTTTTACATCAATTATCAATGTAAATAAATATTTTTACATCAATTGTCAATCTAAATAAATATTACATCAGTAAAATTGATGTAAAATGTCACATTTTTCAAAGCTCAATGGTCAAAATTATTTTCGGTTCAATGTAAAGCTCCATCAATAAAGTTATATATTGATGAGGTTTTACACCGCTCCCAAACAGAACCTTAGTTAAATCTAATAGATACATCATATTTATAAATGAACAAAGATAAAGCTACAAACTCTCAGTGCTAATATAAATATATAATTCAAACTATGTTTTTCTATTCCATATATCTAATCACATCTAAACTAATTGATCTCATCTCAATATTCCTTTATACGTCTCCTCAAATCCATGGGGATCAAAAGATATTGTTTGACAAAATCAATATTTGCCAATGCCATTTTGATGTCTTCCGGTCATCACTTGCTGCAATTAATGATGACATGGCCAATGAATAATGACATAAGGTCTCAAAATCCCAAGTACTATGATGATGATGCGGCCCAGGTGATGATGATATGATTACAAATTAATTTGGTATTGCATAGCATGAATAAAAATGACTTGCATGAAGCTTAAACGCATGGCCCTTTAGTAAATATGTAACATTCAATGTATGTCTAGTAATGAATGCATGTTAATTTTGTGCAGCTAATTTGAATTCAAATCCGTGTGTTGATTTTTGAATTGGGGTCAAAGTAGAAAAAAAAAAGACTTATAATCTGACTTGTGTGAATATTAGAATGAGTAGTCGCCGGTCATTATTAGGATGGCAATTTTTCTCATCCCACGGGATTCAACTTTCTCGATCGGATGAATTGGGGATGGAGATTGTATCCGATTTCTCTGACTTAATGGGGTTGGGGATGGAGATTGTTTTGGCAAGATGAGGATGGGGACGGAGATTAATAGGAATTGATGAGGGTAGATTTGGCCCTCCAGTGAAGTTGCGACACGTGGCACCTCGTGACAACTAGGCAAGCCCCCAGGCAACAACTTACCAAGTTGGTCCCCCCCGGGCACCGGT